GTGTGGGTGTGTGTGTGTGTGTGGCTGCCTGTGCGTGAATGCTATGTATAGATGTTCCCTACATATGCCACTGACGTGTTTCTATGATTGCAGCAGTCTCACCTGTCCGTTTTTGTAGATAGTTCCTCTCCTGGCAACACATGGGCCAGATAAACAGATAGATAGGTATTGAGCTAAAAAGCGAGCACCGTAAGACAGAAGAGGACATGAGATGGGATACAGGATGTACGCTGTCACAACTCGTCCAAGCCAGATGAGGTCTCACGGTTCGCGGTCGGAAATCGGAGTAGGATCTAGGGTTGGTACAGGCTCGGATGCAGAACAGGCAAAAATAGGCAAGAACATCCGCGGATACATGACATAGGATGAAGGATAGGAAAAGTTTGCAAGCATTTGCAGACAGACATATGTGTGCATGTCCTGTTCATACAAACATGTACACACGCACACATCCAGATACACAGAGTGAGAGAGATAGAGAGGGAGACATGCATGATGTGCGGTCTGGCCTTGGTCTTCCTCTTGCTGTGGTCTGTCTCCTGCCTCTTGAGTCCCATGCCGCAATTAAGCATCTTGGGCGGTCGCAACGGCATCTTGCTGTTGATGGCCTCACACCACTTTCCACGGCTTGGTGCTCATAAAATCTCATAAATCACTGAGCACGTGCATGGCTAACTCAAGGACCCCCTCTCGTTGGCAGCCGGGAGACCACGAAGGGGCAGGCTTGCTGCAAGCGGTGCTTCACCGTCTCAGCCTGGCGTCGAATGCCTAGATTAAATGTGCACAAGGTCGGCCCGGTGCCATTTGTCACCCAGCCTCTCGGGTCGCGGATGCTTCCGCCAAGACTGCCTCGCAAGGATATTTGCCGCTGGCAGCCTCGCAGGGATGTCTGCCACGCAGCCTCTCTTCCGTGATCTCGGTAGCATTACGGAATCTGGTGAAGCCCTTAAAATGCTTTGCGAGTCCGTCTGCTGCCTCTCCAGACAGCATCACGGCATCGGTGCCATCCCAAACAGCATTCCTGCAGCTGCGGCTCTCTGTCTCGCAGGCGGGCCCAACAAAAAGCACAAGCGTTTCTATGTGCCACAGAGGTTCATGAGATCGGACACCTCTGCTCGAGTCGGCACCGGGTTCTCGATCATGCTCTCGACCATCTGCGTGGCGGTGATCACGAACAGCCCCGCTTGTTTGGCGCGCTGGATCAGCAGCTTCTGTGCGAAAGGCACGCGGCAGAGCCCCAGCTCTACGCCCAGGTCGCCGCGGGCGACCATCAGGGCCTGAGACTTCGCGATGATGCCCTCAATGTTGGTGAAGGCCTGCGGCTTCTCGATCTTCGGGCAAATCTTGGGCCTCCTTTCTGCGGGAACTTTGAGGCGATCCATGATGTCGATGAGCTCTTGCAGGTCTTGACCTTAGACGGATCTGCCACGAGAGTCTCGCGGTGCAAAGCGCATGTCTCAGAAGTCTGAGCTGGCGGCCCTTCTGAGCAAACGAAACGCAAATATATTCGATAGGGGGGTCCAACTGCAACAGGAACTCCGCATCCTGCCACGGTGGACAAAAGCTGCGCCACGGATGGAGTTCCATTCCGGCGTATGCTTGCAAGATACTTCATGTCGCTTGTGCACAAGTGGGGCCCTTGACCGGTCCTCGATGTCCTTCGCTGTCAGCGCAGCACAGTTGATCTCCACGTCCGGCACGTTCACTCCCTTGCGCGCCTTCAGCTTGCCACCTCGAGTGACCTGGAGAGGACCACAGGAAAGAATAGAGGCTTGCAAATCCTCCTCTCCTACTCCGGCCGATGTCGACCCTTTCGAACACGGCTGTCTGCTTCGAGCCCTGCCGAGGTGCTTCGACCTTCAGTTCGCTCTCGGAGCACTTCTCCACGACCTGCAAGAGCTTCGGTTCTTGCACAAGGACCAGGCAGGGCAGAGGCCAGGCTTCGTGCCTTGCATTTTGGGGGCAATAGCAAGGCGAGGGTCCGAGAGAGACGACTGGGGCACTTTGGCCGTGGCATCACAGCAGAATGCAGCGTGAAACCACACACAGGTAGACCTTCAACTCATGCAGCGACGACCGGATATCCTCCGTGCAGGTGGAAGTTGGTTCGGGCACCGCTGAATCTACGCATGACCCCACAGCCACCTCTTCAGCAAATTCGAACCAACCTCCAAGAGGGTCAGCATCATGGACCGCATGATGGCATGATGGAAGCTCCGTTGGAGCCGTGAGAAAACTTCTCAGCCTCACACCTTGGGCGTGAAGTCTGTGCCCTCATTGCATCTGGCAGTCGCCGACGTCCTCCGTCTCGATGGCCACCGGCATCGGGGTGTCGAATCGCAAGGCCCCCATCTCAGTCGAAGCTTGGTTCAACTCGTTAAGGGCCCTCTGGATGCTTTCCATGTCGCCACTCAGTTCTTTGCACTGCTTCTCTGCGGCCTTCATTACATCCTCCACAGCAAGGCCCATAGCAGCCAGGAACTCGCTGTTCTTCTCATGGCCGTGCAGAAGCGCCTCGACCACAGCAGCTTCCGTCACTTTACCATCTGTGCCGGCGAGCACCGCGAACGCTGCCTTGTGATCGGCGTCCATGTTGTCTTTGTGCTGTTCCTTCAAGACAGCATATCTCCCCTTGAAAGCTGCATGGAGCTTATCGGGGGTTACCAACTTTGCCTTCTCTTGTGCCAAATGCTTCGTGTGGTCCAAGTTCTCATCCTCGGCCTCCGAATCCACGCGCTGCATCATTGCCACCTGCGCACAATTCAGCTCCGACATCAACTCCCCGAACGGCTCCCAGAGAGCGATAAAGTTTGAGAAGAAAATGATGCCCTCATCGTAGGTCAATGTGCCACTATTGTCCTTGTCATGGTACCGGAACGTCTTCTTGATGACGGGCGTGAGCTCATCATCGATCCGTTTCTGGGTGTTTTTCTGCACCTCTTCCATCATGATCCTCAAGTTCCGCATGATCCCGAGGCACTTTTTCATAGCAACTGTCTCGTCCGCACCTTCAGGGCTGTCATCGAAGTCCTTCTGCATCTGTAGCATCTCCTTCTGTACCTTCAGTACCTCGGCATCCACCTCTTTGAAGTTGCGCTTGCAAATGTCCAGGGACAGGAGGAAGTACTGCTCCAGATGTGGGGCGCGGCAAAGCCACTGGACCATTTCCTCGTAGTTGATCTTGCCATCCATGTCCAAATCGGCCTCCTTCAACATCACGTTCAGATCTACTTCTGTCGTGCTGCAACCCAGGGAGCTTAATACAATGGACAGCTCATCCTTGGAGATATAACCGCTGGCATCCTTATCCCACATGTTGAAAGCTTCCAGGACCTTCTGCTCTTTATCCTTGATATCCGTGGATCCCGTTATGGACTGTTTGCACATCTTCTTCATCTCGATGTCGTACTTCACCTTGGGTTTCGCCATCGCTCGGCTGGAGAAAGCAGGGGCTTAAAACGGTTTTTACCACCCAGGCAAAAAGGGGCGAGGGCGTACAATAACTTTAGACACAGGTTGGCACTTGAACCCAAATGGCTACAGGCTTGGGCTTCGACTCTCACAGTTGTGCCAGCATGTTTTGTTTCGGCGGTTACATTCGGACGCCAGAGGCGGGGCGGTCTGCTGGACTCTGCTGGGTCGTGGTACTGAACATCGTGCCGGCTGAGAGTTGACCAGGACTGCTGAGGCAAGCAGGCAAGTGAAATTCCGGTTTCGGCTCTCACACGACTCTCACGCTCGCATTAGGCAGGCAAGAGGGCATGTCGGCGGAGCATGGATAATCGCAGTCTGTGGCTATGCCCGATTGCCCCACTCCCTCGATGCAAAGCATGCGTAGAGTCCCCAAGGTTCTGACGGCACCAGCAGAAGGACCACGGGCAGAAACAGTAGATTTGACTCCGTCTCTTGCTTCTTGGCATTCTGCCAGAAGGCCTCCTACTTGGTTAACGTTGACAGCTTACATGGGCGGCAGATGACATGAAGAAATGCAGCAAGGCTGTGCCCCGACAAAGCCTTCACTTCCATGATTCCATCCTCCAGCAGGAGTGGGGTACCTGGTTTGCCTCAGTACATGCAGAGAGGTCTCAGGAGCAGTGGCTGACTGAAGTTTTAGGCCCAGCAGCGGGCGTAAAGCAGTGTTTCCGCAGGATTGCATGATCAGGTTCCAACTCGCTGCAAAAAAAAAATATATATATATATAGAGAGAGAGAGAGAGAGACTGTAGATAGATAGATAGATAGATAGCAGCTGCAACTTCCAGGACTTCAGACCAAGCTGGTCTTTGCAAGCCCGGGGGTTGCAGGTTGACAGAGAAGGCCCTGCTGCCGAGTGTGCATGATTGGTTGGCTTGCTGCCAGGCCACAGGCCTTCACCAGGGCCGTCTGCTCCGTCGTCGGCTTCATGGTGATCCGGCCGGGACGGATGTTGTCGTTGTCGTCCTTGCTGATGCCTCAGTATGCAAACGGTGTCGAGTGCGTGACAGCCTGGCGATCTTTGCAGCTCGAGGGGCCAAACTCCAGAATGTCACCGTTCTTCAGCTCCACAGGCTCACCTTGCATTGGCAAGGCTTCGTCGGCGGCAGCGATGCAGACCAATGCAGACATGGGATGTCAAGCTGCAACATTCTGAAGAACAGTCCATGGAGCAGCGCTTCAGGGCCGAAAGCCCTGAGACCCTCCGGCCCGGCCCCGGGCGCCTGCTAATTCGCCAACGCGGAACTTGGGCCCCTGGAGGTCTCCGAGGCACTGCACATTTTTCCCCATCTCCTCTGGTTCCAACAAGGCATTCTGCGTATGCCGGGCACGTTCGGCGTGCACGCATGTCAGCCCTCGGAGACGTCCTTGGCATACTTGCGGATCAGCGGGTAGACGCGCTCGAAGTCACCACCGCGGCGGTGCGAGCAATTCAAGCGGAAGATGTCCGTTCCGGCCTCAATCATCTTGGGAATCATCTCCTGCAAGGCAGGGGAGTCTCAGAAAACATGGGACCTTCATGTATTGATTGCAAGGGCACCTCTCCAAAAATAGTTCACCCCTCGTCTCCTGATTCATAAAACCGCTACCTCCCCCACGACGACGACTACACCCGAGTACTACTGACTGCAATATCAGCTGCTGCTACTCCTTCTACTGCGAGCAGTAATGACAAGACGAAGCTACAGAACAACCCATCAGTACTACTACCAGCATGACAACGACGAAGATGAGTACTGCTGCTGCACCAAGCACCTTTCGCCACTGGAGGAGGCTTTGGCCATGTGGAGTCACATCTAAACCACCTGGTCATCCCCAACATTACCCCAGCATAATGTCAGATCAGCCTTCTGCAGCCCTTGCACGGAAAAGGGGACTTGGCACCATCACCGTCAGGAGACTAGACATGTACTGCAAGCTTTTGGCCGACCTCTCGGACCAACTAGTTTGATTTCGTTAGAAGATGCCCCCGCCCCGGAGCCCAAGCAAAAGAGGCTGTGAAGTGCGCCTGAAATCAACCATGTCGTAGTGCCTCCTCTACCGCCCCCCCGCCCTACCACCATCGAAAAAGGGCTCCCGCAGAAGCACGGGCAGCAGCATTTTTTCATCCTTACGATACTTGTGTGCTCCCATCATATCAACCCCGATCTGAGCAACTACGACTGACTAGGGAGGCCAACAGCTTAAACAGCAAGGCCCCGTAGAAAGCCGGGGCCCTCCTCGCTCCAGGAAGCCGGCCCTAAAGAAGCAACGACTTTGGTCGCCCGCTTGCTGTCCTGGACGACTGCTTGGGCTCGTACAGGAAAGCCGGGTGGGGCACCAACGCCGGAAAAGCCGGTGATTCGGTGAAGGGCTACTTAGCTACTTCGGTTGGATCCGACGAATGTCGTCCACACCACACGGGTCGTGGATGAGTGCCTACTCCTTTTCCTGTGGGTTCGATTTAGTGGGCTTCTAACTCGAAGGCTCCGGACCAAAACACTACTAACCAACGAGCCTAGGTTGGGCGGGATCGGGGGTAGCATGGTCAGGCTTTGATGACTGCGAGGTTCGAAGCTTATCCAGCTGCGATTTCTTGAGCGAAAGCCCCCAAAGCTCTTCAAACTTCACACTAATGGAGCTAGCAAGCAAATCCATTGAGCGTGTCCGTAGCAAGCTTCTCTCACCCAATCCGAGGTGAAAACAACTCTACAGGTTCATGCGCATTCTTGGCCGAGCTTCATCCAGCTCTCTGGGCTTGTTGGCTTCGTCCACGATGGCCCCGTCTGGGACCTCGAAAAGGCTTAGCTTTTTATATCTTTCTGTCAAAGGCTGTTGCAGCACGTTGCATGTGCTAACATCCTGTGTTGCATCCACTTCTTCTGGAATTTTCTGGAGCTCAAGGTGTGTGTCTTGGACTTCCTTTCGATACGGGGCCTGCGGCTTCAGGAAGTCTCGGACCGTCTCGGCCTCGAGGACCTCATGGCAGCGGAATGTGGTCACAAGTGACTCCTGTTGCACCCTATACCCTGACCCCTAAACCCTTTCAACTACCTTAAATAGCATGGTGTAGCGTGATCCTCCGTGTGTGGGTGGAAGGCTATCTCTTGATTCACAGCTTTTTGACTGAATCACTAGAGGTGTAGCTTCAGAAAAATCACGGAGCCGTCGGACCCCAAAAACACCCCCCCCTCCCCCCCACCTGTGGCAAAATCCCATCTTTCAAGAAAATTCGATGCAATCCGGCCGATGCCTCTACCCACGCCAGCTATGCCAGCTCCAGCTTCCCTCTATGGATCACAAACGCTGGAGCCCCGCTGACAAACCACCTGCGGAGATGACTCAAACATATCTGTATTAATTACGTCTTATGTACATGTGTACGTGTCTATGTGTGTGTATGTATATATATATATTATGTTATATTATATTATATTATATTGTA